TAAATCTCTTAGATGCAGTCAATTTCATTCATAGAGCTTGGCAAAAAGTTAGCCGAAAAACCATTGCAAATTGCTTTAAGCATGGGGGATTTGTAAAAAAAGAAAATTATTATGAACCAGACGATGAAATTCCAGTTAACGAATGGGTAGAAAAGTATAAAGACTCTGACTACGAGTATGACACAGACGAAGATGTCCCAATGTTGTCCAGAACAAGTTAAAACCAAATTAAGTGATTTCAATTTCTTCGAATATGTGAGCATTGATAATGGCATTCTTACAAGAGAAATGTTGACCGATGAGCAAATTATAGACTCCGTAACCTCATCTACAGCTTTAAGCGATAATAAGAAAGATGACGATTTAAGTGAAACGTATTCTACTGTAGACACTATGCTATTCCAACCATTTCTGAAAGGACAAAAATAGTGTCAGAATCTCGGAATTTTCTACAATCACGCCAAGTTCCTAATCATATCTGGGAGTCCTTTTGTGATCCTGAAAACTACATAAATAACATCTATTTTTGCAGCAGAAATGTACAAACAAAAATTACCGACTTTATGAAGTAGATTTCAAATTGAATTTTGTTTATCTTGTGTTCTTTTTAGTCATACCTACTAACTTCTACTACTATATGTAAAAATAACGAAATACAATACACCACGTGTTTGTGTATTATTATTCGCTTATAGCGAACTCCGGATAAACGAACCAGTTTTAGTTCGTTATATCCGGACTCAACTGTATTTACAATTTATGTTTAAAGTAGTTTTAATGTAACTTTTTCGTGATTCTGCATACTTGTGTCTCAGTGTTACTTGAATGAGTTATTCATTAATCATTTGAGTGTCAAATGAGACACATATCAAGTCAGGTTTTCCACTGACTTTTCATTGTACATTTGAAATTGTCAACTATAAATCTGAAACATTTCATTTGTATCATATCGACAAAGTAATTCGCTTTATTTTACTGTTTAACGTTCAGTTGAGTTCAATCAGGTGATAACTCTAACTGAGAGACCGAAATATTTTCCAGCACGGCCTAAAAGAGGTAAAAGCTCACGAGTTTTAGGCAATGAGCGCGAAAGACAAGCTATTGATTATTAATTTTACCAAATAGTACCCCGCTTCTGTACCAGAACTAATCCATTGATTTTGTAGGTCTACAACTCCGACGTGAACGGAGGAGGAATTAACAGTAAAACTCCGGTCTCCGTTCTGCAAGAGTTGTTATGTAGGCGTGGAATGACGCCCAAGTATGAACTTCTGCAAATCGAAGGGGCCATTCATGAGCCAGTATTCAGATACCGGGTGTTCCTAAACAGTGACCTGGTAGCCACTGGAACCGGGCGATCTAAGAAAGATGCCAAGCATGCTGCTGCTAAGAACTTGCTCGATCTTTTGGTGGGTAAAATGTCGCTAGAGCAGGCCAATCAAACGAACGGCACCCCTGGAGCGGCCGATATGTGAGTTGTGAAATTACTTTTACTGGCCATCTCTGAATGAAATACTAATGATATTGATTTTCCTCCCAGTACTGCGCAAATTGTGTCCCCATTTGACGATAAAGTGATGGGCAACCCAATTGGGTGGCTGCAGGAGATGTGCATGTCCCGTCGCTGGCCGCCACCACTCTATGAAATGGAACATGAGGAGGGACTTCCACATGAACGACAATTTACGATTGCCTGCCAGGTAAGAATGTCACAATATCTATCTGCTTTCGATTTTGTCTCAGTGTTTCTTGAACGATATTCTCATTGTCGTTTGAGCGTCAAATGAGACATATATAAACGCATGTTTTCCACTGACCATACATTCTGCTATGAGCTATAGTCAACTAAAAACATGCAACACCTTAACTCTATGAATGGATAGATTAATGTAATTCTGAACAAATTGTTTGTACTTAGGTGCTAAAGTTGCGTGAAGTGGGAACCGGAAAATCAAAAAAGCTTGCCAAACGCGTTGCTGCCCACAAGATGTGGCAGTCGATTCAAGACGGACCTCCCGAAGGAAACGCCTATCCGGGATTTGAGACCGAAGAAGATGTGAGTTTTTGCCTATTTCCTCTCGAAACACCTACTTTGACCTTAACACTTTCCAATTTTCACTCAGAGGAGGACCTTAACTCAATACTTGATTCCCTTTTGGGCTTCTGTGTGGTGACGTTTTGTGGTTTATTTCGTATTGATGTAGTAGAACTAGTTGTGTACTGAACCCCTAAACTTTGTCGAGTGTGCTTTTTGTACACTTGCTGCCTTTCAATGACTTCACTCATTAATATTTCAAAACAACTGAATTAGACGTGCATTTTCTCTGAAGTTCTATTTGAAAGGAGCATAAGGTACGTAAGCATATGCTCATTCCCATTTCGTATGTTGTTTTAGCTCGCGGGAAAACTCAGCAATGTCTCGCTGCGGTACTCTGGGTTGAAAGATAGCAAAATTTCCTATTTAAGCACACAGGAGTCCCAGAAGGTTTCTCAATTCCATAAGGCACTTAAACAGTCTGCCGGCAAGAAATTGAATGACTTACAGGTAAACATGGTTTCATTGAGCAAATAATTCACGGATAAGGTCAAAAATCTTTCGATGTCACAGAAAGTTTCGAGTTCAAAGTTACAATTTTATGTTTGGGTTTTTAAGAATGTGAATTTGGCATCGAGCGACTTCAACGTTGTGCAGTTTCTGAAGGAGATCGCCGTCGAGCAGAACTTCGAGGTCACGTATGTGAACATTGAAGAAAAGTCCATTACTGGCAAGTGGCAATGTTTGGTCCAACTGTCCACCCTGCCAGTGGCCGTTTGCTACGGAAGCGGCCAGACCTCGAAGGAGGCGCACGCTGATGCTGCACACAACGCTCTCCAGTACTTGAAAATAATCACCGGGAAGTGAGCGAAACGTTTGCAAGATGACAAATATGCATTCGTTTTCCGGTATCACCTTCCGGAGATATATAAGTTTGTGAATGTGGGGCTCTTGCTCACGTCAGGCCGATGGCCCCCGTTTTGCTTTCTTCTCTTCCAATTTGTTTGATGGCTTGCTTCCCCGAGTGTTATGCGTTCGGATGCCATCATAATTTTTTGTCTATATGATTAATGTCTGGGAATGGTCGTTTCTAACTTATAGTTTCGTTGAACAGTTCAAATAATTCTTAACGAGCTAATTTTAAATTGATAATTGTTACTCTAATATAGCTGCTGACCTCTTGCTAATATTGCTGTACGATTGTCACCTGAACGGCGTATATCGTGGGCTTAAAGCTAAAACTGACCAAGTCCAGAACATATGAGAATCCTTTTGGAAACTTTGGTCATTAAAACGTAGTTTCGTGCACCTATTTGTGTGGCCTTGGGGAGTTTT